GAAAATTTGAAACCACCAGTAATAGTTAGAAATAACCTTGGCAGCATAAGAAAAACTTACACTTGAGTATCACTGTCCACAGAACTGATGAAACATAGAAACCTGTTGGAAGAATATAATTGGAATAATGATGGGTCAGAAAGGGAAAAAGTTAAGCATGTGTGCAGCAGCCCCAACAAGAGACATCAATGATAATTTTCAGTGATAGGCTGTAAATATTTAACAGCTTACTCTGTGGGGAAAATCATTGGCCTGTGGTGTTTGCCAATTTCCATGGTGAAAATACTCCCTCTGTGGTCAATTTCAAGCTATGAGCTTATGTCACTGAACACAAAGTGGGAAGAGTTACATTCAGTGGGATCTTGGGATCTGGCTCACACCAGCTCCAGCACATTGTGCTTTTACTTGAATTTCAAATGCCCTTTTATGTGTTAAAAATAGGTAGAAAGGTCCAAATGCATTTTAATTGCTTCAATTTAAACAATGTTATCATTATGTAATAGGAATTAGATTTAATATTTGCAAAGACACTCTGTGATGAAGATCTAAGAACAAGAGGGCAATAATGAAATTTTTGTCTCTTTTCTAACTATATGACTGTGGGCATATTATTTAAAGTTGCTGTGTATCATTTCATTAATCTTCAATATAAAGATGATGGCAAAATTATTATGGCAGATTAAGCCATTGGATATGGAAAATGTATTTAAAAATTTGACTAGTTACCTAGTACATCGTCAGTGTTAAAGTCAGCTACACATTCCATACATTTACAAAGTAAGAAAAGGAATTAGGAAAGTATAGAAGGGCAACATACTTAATCCTATAGAAGACTACTTATCTAAGAAGCCTTAGGTAGTGCTATTAATATTAAAAAAATGTTGAACACTGCATTTTTTTTCTTTTTGACATGAAAATCTGACATATATATATATATATATATATATATACATATATTAATTTCCTTTCTCATTTTAAGGCTGCATTGGTGTTAGCTCTCTTTCTCAACCACCATCTGCACAATATTCTTACATATATTTCTTAAATTTCAAGTAGAATTTTAAAATACCTTAATGTATCTTTAGGGCAATTGCAATTTAATCTGTGCATGTTTTGTCTCAGAGAAGACGAATTACTCTTTTACCCCTTGATTTGACCATGAGCAAATGCAACAGGCCAGATCTAACATCATTATTCTACTGTCACAATTCTTCTCCAAATTCATTCTCTTTGAATAGTAAAAAATAGAGCTCAAACTTAAAATAAAGCTAAGCAAATGTAGCAGATTTATATGTTACTATGCTATACATTAGTTTGTAGTTAACAAACTAACATAAAAACAATGAAGGATTCAATAATGATGAGAGATCTTCTAGAAAATCCACTTCTAGGATTCCTATTTATTCATTTATTTTTATTTTTGAATACTTGTATTATCTTTAAGCAGTTGTACAAAGGACTTGCCATTCAACAAAGCAGTTTATGACTAATACAGAGTATCCTGATCAATGCCACCCCTTCCAACATAATCACCCAACCCTACCAGCCAACTCCTTCCCTCAATTTTCTTAATTTTTGAGGATCTGTACTGACTTTTGTTGCCATGTAACAAAACAGTTTATGCCTTCATCTTTATCTGTGTCATCCATCAATACCTGCATCCTTTATTCCCTCTTCTCTAGGATTCTTCAATAAGGTAAATGTAATTATTTGCTTTTTTTCATAAGGATGCTTCTCTGGACTCTAGTTCTTAGTTTTTAGGTAAAGTTAGGGTTATTTTAAAATGAGGGCTCAATACAAACAGGTTTTTGTACACACACACAGACACACACACACACACACACACAAAAGATCTGGATCATTATACCTCAGTGTGTCTTCTTCCATCATTGTTTCTAAAACTACTGATTATTTTGTTGGCTACTTAGCAGGCAGGATTTTAATCTTCTGTTCATCCTTTGACTATTGATTCTTTCAAGATAAGGTACATGGGTGGTCTCACAAAATATTTACTCCATAAAAGCATTGAGGATGAATTGTTCATTTGAAAATACAGTCACTTTTATAGGTAAGAAAAATTAGTAATTCCTTTGGAAAGACTTCCTGAAATTAAATAGCAACTGTGAGCCATGAGGAGTTAAAAAAGAGAAAAGCAGCAGCCAACTCAATGCTCTCTCCAGGTTATAACCAGGAGTAAAAGGCAATTCAGACCTCTGAGAAGAAGTTTGACTGCCTTCAACACAGGCTTTCGAATTGATTTTGGAAACCACGTATCCTAAGGGTATTTAGGATTAGTAGATTCTCCACATGAATTTGCTCTCCATTGGGAAAAACTAAATTATTTGACTGCAGGGATTTTAGGCTGTAAGTCTCAGTGAACTGAAGTCATACTACTTTAAAGTCGGAATCCATGTGGTGAAAAGTTGGAAGGATGCTGTCCTAATCTACCTGGAAGGGCAAAGTGTAGGTATGCTGGCATAGCCAAAGTATTTGGCTCATAAGAAGTCATTAGCAAATATTTGCTTCTTTCTTTCCTTCATGCTAACAAAAAATAGGCTAAAATAATTATCAAAAGTAAGTTCTGTAAAGCACAGGAGATTTGAGAGCAATTAATATTGATAGCTCCTCTCATTTGTTTTACAAATTAAAATTTTACTGTGAACATGATTCTCTTTTTTTATTGTTGTCTAAATCATATTTAAACAATGATAAATCTATAATGAGTCAGCAGCATTTGTGGGAAGATAATAAGAGAAATCCTGAACTTTCAGCACAAAACTCCAAATGGTTCATTGACTTTGTTTCACCATGGAAAAAAAGAAAATCTCTTAGCCTCCCAGTGTCAGTTTACCCATCTGTGAAATGAGAAGGATAATATTTTCTTATGGGAATGTTTAGAAAATTATTTTGCAAATGTAGTGGATGAAATGGCTGCAAGCCTCACTGCTCTTTTTTCCACTTCCTTTAAGAAATTGTATCATCCATGTAACTCTTGATAGTCAAAAATGTCACCTGGGTTGAAGTATGCTTATTTATTAGCACTTGTATGCTTTTTTATGATGCAAATAATCCAAACTATTCAATTTATTCATTCCATCCATACTAGAAACTGAAGAAAAGTATCTTTAAAAATGTCCTGAGTTTAGAATTTATGAACTGCTAATCGCTGGTAATTATTCCCTCTTTGTGCTTTAGCTCAAGCTTTCTTTGATGTGGTTTTTGCCTCACTTCACATCACAAGATTGATGGTTCTCCATGTTCCCCTGCTAGAGGTCACCTCGGAGCTGAAGGCAAAACACATCCCACTCTGGCTCCTGTTGACATTCAAGTCAACTATCAAAGAATTTATTCCAGACAACTTCTAACCTCAATTTTAAAACTCCACCCTAAAGATTACAGCGAGCTATCCCAGGGAGTTGCCATAGTGACTCTAAGAGGTTGGCATGGAGAAGACAAAGCTTCTGATATCAGATTTTTATACTTGATAGGTTTAATTATATAATGTGGCCATGAACCACTGTGTAGTGTCATTTAGGTCTGAGTAGAAAAAATTCCCTCAGGCTCTTCTATCTCTTATGGTGCCAATCAACAAGTTTCTTGGTAGTAAGATTCTTTATGCCAATAACTCCAGCCTAACCTACAAGTGGTGATTGAAGTACCAAGAGTATATTATTATATACTCTTGGTATATACAGTTATATTATTATATAACTGAGAAAACACTGGAAATATGCTTACTGGATTTGATTCCGTCATTGTAAGATTCTGGCATATTTAAATTATCTTTGACTTGCTGAAAATACCTTGTTCACATAAGAGTATTTTAATTTGGCTCTAGAAAGTGATTTTCACCCATGTTGATCTTCATTATCAGAATTAGAGGAATTAAATACAGATCATCATCTTATAAGTGAAATTTATGTATTGCTTTCTGGGTGAATGTTTTTGTTTAACTATTAGGAGTGTGGTTCTTCATTAAGTGTATTGCAAAAATTACTTCTATGTATTAGTATAATTCTTAGGAATGTAGAAAGGTTAATTATATAATAATAATACCTATATATAGACAAATATTCAGAAAAATATATTTTCCTGATTCTAAAAAATAATACATACACCAACTGGTTAAGAACAGACAACTACAAAAAAGTGCAATGAAGAATATTACCAGTATATTCTGGGTTAGAGTTGATGGCTGTGTGTGAGTGTGTGTGTGTGTGTGTGTGTGGTGTGTGTGTGTGTGTGTGTGTGTGTGTGTGTGTGTGTGTTTCTTTTATGAGACAGAGCCTTGATATTTTGATATTTGACTGACTCAAATTTCTAGGCTGAAAAGTCCCTCCCTCCTTAACATTTTAAGTACCTTAGAATACAAACGTGATCCCAAACTAGATTTAATAATATATTAATGAATATTCTATAAGATGAACTTCATTTTAGACACTAGTCACATACTTTTCACCCCAACACATTATAGATTTCTAAAAATAACTTTTTCTACAAGAAACGCTGGTGGAATAGGGTTCTTTTTAATTTCTGCTATCAGAAATTGAATCAAATGTTCTAGTATTCATATTTCAGACTTTATTCAGCATTTGCAAAGCTACCAAGTAAGAACTTTATGTATTGCATGTGCTGCATTAGAGAGTTTATTTAATCTCATCTCATCCACTGACTTATCCTCAATAATAATCCAATCTATCACCACAAAATTAATGCAAGACTTAGGGATATTAATGGCTATCATGTACCCACTGGAATATAAATCTCCATGCGTGCCTGAAAGGAAAACAAGGTTTTCTGGAACATGTAAGAGAATATAAAGAAATCTTGATGGTATGTTGCACTGTTCCTCTGATGAAGAATTTTTATTTTATATTGATTTTTTTAAGAGGTGGTTGGTTAGTTTGTTTACTTTGAATAAGAAGTGAAATCCAATGTAGAAACTGGGAAATTAATCATTTTATAACTTGCATTTAATCAACTTTCTCTTTAATCTCCTTTTAGGCAGTCAAGGGCAGTTTCCACTCACACAGAATGTAACGGTTGTAGAAGGCGGAACTGCAATTTTGACCTGCAGGGTTGATCAAAATGATAATACCTCCCTCCAGTGGTCAAATCCAGCCCAGCAGACTCTGTACTTTGATGACAAGAAAGGTGAATAAATTTTCTTTTAAATATTTTAATTATATTCTGAAATATTCTAATTATAATAAATTTATTTTTCTGAGATGATTCAAATTATTCCTTTTGATTACCAAACTGCTGCTGCTTGTATTTAAACATGTTAAATATTAAATACTTTAGTTTGCAAGTCATAAACACTGAAGATAACCTATGTCAACTTTTTAATAAAATAAACAGTTTGAGTGCTGTTTTAAAAAATACTTTTATGACTCCTCTTACATGCTGTTTTCTTCTAGATACTATCATAACTTATTTTTGTCTTACTTATGAGTTAATATTTTGAATATTCTTAAGACAATGCTATTTTTCACAACATTTTAGATATTTGGAAAATGTTATACAACTTTGCATAGCAAGAAAAGTTTGTAGACAAAATTTGCATAATAAGAAAATTACTCTCTTGAATTAGTTCTACAATTAATAATTTTAAAAATTGATTTCCAAAATATAGTTACACATACAAATATTTTCAAAGTAACTGAAATGCTGAATTTATATGTGCTTAAGAGAAAGGTAATATGTATTTTGTTAATTAATCTGGGCTTCTAATTGGATACAAGTAAATTTTGTTTAAGCTTTTCAGAGCAGTAAGAAAAATCCAGGTTTTCTTATGCAAGGAAACCATGAATAACATATCAGTAAGAGTTGTTCCATTGTGATATGATGAAAAAAGAGTTTATTAACAGAGTGAAAATGTATAACATTTCTTTAAATGATATGGAATAGTAATTTTAATTATATATTATTAATTCAACAAATGTTTAATACCTGATTTCTTATTAACCCTGATAGATAATGATGAAATAATTTCACTTTTCATTTTAATAATTATATTTGGTACAAATAAGTTCTAATAAATGTACCCAGTCCACCTAAAATATCCATTCAGTATATTTTGAGTGGTACTGTGACTTTCTCTCATTTACATCCTCTAAATTTGAGATGAATTTTTTATTGTATTAAAGATACAGGAAGAAGTGATTAAATGTATCCATAGTTCATTTGACAATTTTTATGAAGTGTTTTGCATGAAACAATATAGCAAGAAAATAAAGCCCCTACATTTACCAGGCATTCAATCAATAGAGGAAGCAGACAATAAGCATAAACAAACACATATCTATGTGTACACATACACAAGCATATACATAGATGTTAACAAATCGTAAGGGACACATAGCATATAAAAACAATGAATTGTGTGTGCAGTATGTATTTCCAGAAAATCAATACCAACAGGATGGAAGAAGAGACAGAGAGAAAGAGACAGAGAGAGAGAAAGAGAAAGAGAGAGAGTGAGAGAGAGGTAGTGAGAGGAGAGAGAGAAAGATGTTTAGTAACTAGCTCAAGTGTTTATGGAGGAGGCAAGTTTGAAATGATCAGATGGACTAGGTTTTGTATGAATTCCAACTGCAACTCTAGGAAAGTATTCATGTTCTAGCTCAAATCCAAAAGCGTTCTAGAGATAAAATCCCCTCTCCTTTTAAGACCTTAGTCTTTCTCTAATGGTCTTTAATGAATAAGATGAGACATATTCACAATGTAGAGAGAGGACGGCTTTACTCAAATTCTGCTCATTTTAGTACTAGTTCTTCTAAACAACATTGTCATGGAAACATCTAAACTAGTATTTCAACTATCTCTTCCCTTGTTGGTAAGGGATGAATTCTAGAACATTCCTGAATTCCTGAAACAATAAATACAATATTTCTGCTCTTCTCTAAGTTTCTGAATTCCAAGGTTTTAGTTATCCACAGTTACTGCAGGTGATTATATGGTTATACAATATATAATGTTTACATGTCCATATTTTAACAATTTAAAAACATATTGAGAAAATTTCTTTCTCTAACTTTGAATTGAATGGAACAATCTACTTAAGACTTTTAGAATATATAGCATTATTGATGAGAAATTTATGTGGGACAACAATTATACTTTTACAAATTTGGTACGTTTTTATTGCTGTTTGTTCATCTTACAGGCATTTGATAGCCTTCTTCATTTTTCTTTCTTTCTCTTTTTTTGGGGGGCAGGGAGTGGTCCGGTCATGGGACCTGAACTCTGGACCTGGGCGTTGTCCCTCATCTCTTCAGCTCAAGGCTAGCACTCTACCACTTGAGCCACAGTGTCACTTCCACTTTTTTTTTTCTGCTTATGTGGTGCTGAGGAATCGAACCCAGGGCCTCATGTATGCAAGGCAAGCGCTCTACCACTGATTCCCAGCTCAATCTCTCTCTCTCTTGTTTTTTAAAACAAAGCTTGTACTGTTTAAGATCTTTGGCAGTTGTGTTTACAGTGACATCTACAATTAAGAAGTCATATCCTCTGACAAAACAAAAACAAAAAGTCTATATTGAATGCCCTTCCCTCTTCTTTCAATGGTTCTTTAAGTTGTCCTTTACAGATCATCTAAAACTGGAATTGATTTTGAGTTTTTCAAGCTAATGCATCTTTCCCATAGAAATGCAATATATGTTCAGGGTTTTGAATAAGCAACTCTCAAACTTCTGGGGAATTATTCTAGGGAGAAATAAAACTTGTATTATATTTAGGATATCTAGCATCTTTCCATTGCTGTGAAATATGGAATGATATGGAATGTATTTGATCATATTAATGTTTGCAGTTTGTTCTTCTTTTGCTTCCTTCCTTTTTCCTATCTCAACTGGCAGCTTAAAGTTATGCTGCAAGTAAAACAGTCTTCTCTCTCTCTGTCTGTCTGTCTGTCTGTCTCTCTCTCTCTCTCTCACGTGTGTGTGTGTGTGTATGTGTGTGTGTGTGTGTAGTGTGAGTTGCAGTAGTAGTGGCAGTAGTAATAGTAGTAGTAGCAGAATCTTTGGGTATTAGCTGTTTGTCTACTTTGTTATGGTTTTATTCATCAATCACAGCAAATTAACAGAAATTACTTGAGTAAAGAAATCCTTTCATGAATGGCAGTTGTTCAGTTTTTATGTGATGTTTTAGTTGAAGGAAACTCTGAACAGTGATGTTCATTAACTAGAGGAGTTTGGAAAGTGAAAGCTTCCTTTAAAGATTCCATGTCAGTTTTTCACACACCACCTTTTGGTTAGCAATTTGCCTATTTAACCTTCCTCAAACTAAGGCTTATCTTGACTTTGTTTTTAAATCATGACAAGTTGTACCTAAACTAAAGGACAGAAATTAAACATATATTAGATGAATAGGGCCACCTGCACCTGCTATTGTCTGTGTGATTTATATAAATTTCTGCAGGGGGCTGCTGTTGAAGATTCCCTGTCAACACCACCCATATTTCTGGCTCAGATAATGTCGCCAGTGTTTCTTAGCCCTAGAAACACAATAAAATCACCTAGGGAGCTTTCCAAATTGAATCTTTCAGGATGGGAGCAGTATCAAAATGTTAACTGATTATGAAATGAAGCTGAAGTTGAGACTCGAGTTAAGCAAGTCAATACAGGAGTTTTGCATCTGTAAACTCAGAATTGTGAACTGAATAGCAAAAAAAAAAAAGAGGGAAAGACAAAAAGGAAGTGAAAAAGGGTAAAGTGATTAGGACAAAACAAATGAACGAGTGTACCTCAATGCCATTGCTATTTCCATTGTGATCATAAGCCTCAGCATGCTGAGCAGCACTACACACCCCTTAGCCATGGGTGTCGTCAAGGGTTCTCACCAGATGGATGAACCAAAACCTATAAGGGTGTCAATGGTCATGTCAGAGTCAGGAAAGCCTTGTTTAGTGGGAATTACTTGCTGAAGCATGCTGAGACTGAGCATTGAGCTAAAGTAGCTGGGATATCTGGTATGAGCCTCTGTGTCTTGTTTTCTTCCTTTCCTTTCCTTTTTCTCCTTTCTCTTCTTTTTTTTTTCTCCTTTAAGACAGGACCTTGCTATGAATTTTACTCTGGCAACTTAAGGGGAACCCACTCTCTTCCAGTCATAGCATTCTCAGTCTAGGATTGAATGAAATGGGCCCGACATCAGGCAGATATATAGTCCTTGAAAAGCAAGAGTTCCTTCATACCATTGAAGGCACAAATAGGTTAAGATGCAAGAATATATTACAGTCACACTATCTTAGGTGACATTTCATAGTGCTCAAAACATTCAATGCAAGCTTAAAACAATTTAGTAGACTCATGTAGATTTTTACATTTAATTACAGCTAAGTGAAACTCAAAATGATTTCTCATTCACACTAGCTACTTTTCAAGGATTCTATAGGTTATAAGTTTTTCTACTTTGAAAAGTATAATTCTACATGCTTATTCAGACTTTAAGTTACAACATAGGTCTTGTCCAATGACAGCACTGACTAGTAGAATATGTAGTTCCTAAACAAGAATATCCTATCACAGAAATATTCATGGATATTAAATGTTTAGTTCTTTGCTGTTTAGATTGTAGAGCTGTACATGGTAGGCTGTAGAAGAAAAGTCAGAGCTGACCAGTAATATTACTTTTGGCACTAACTAGCAGCCTAAAAGAAGGTGCTCACTGATACCCTGCCAAATCAGATAAACTGGATGTTGGATCAGAACTGCATTTTGACAACTCCCTATCCGCTTTGTGTGCACCTGAAAGCAAAAAATATTAACCTTTGAAGTAGAAATTCAAGAAAAATTGCATTTCAGTTCTGCCTAGCTTCTAGAAGATTTTTTTTCATGTGTAATATTTAAGAGCCTGAAAAACACTAAATAGGAAATGAATATCAAGAAGAAAATTTAGAATCCTTATGGATTAGAAATACCTAGAGTATATTTTTTGATATCTTTCCATTTTCTTACAAATGGTGCAGTATCCTTCTGACAGAATCAGAACTCCAATATATATATATTCTTAATCCATTCATCCACTGAGGGGCATCTGGATTGATTCCATATCTTGGCTATGGTGAATAATATTGCAATGGGCATGGATGTGTTGATAGTTTTACTGTGGCCATGTTTGAGGTCTATTGGATAAAGGCCCAAGAGTGGAATTAC